CGGCTGTCGGGGCGGGAGGATGGGAGTTGTAGTCCATCACCCAGAAGTGTCTCGAAACAGGCTGGTGGGCTCGAGTTAATGACGCTAAATAACTCCGCTCCCCCCGCAAAAAAATCGGGGTTACGTTATTTTGTCCTGCCTCCCTTTTTACCCCCTCCCCCCACCCAGGCTGTCATGCTCATCACTTACACCGAACCCCAAAATCCGGAATACCACTCATTTCTCCAGGACATCAAACGAACCTCCCAGGAGCAGTTTAACTTCACCATGGAAGACGGACCGGTAAGGAGGAGGGCGGCGACGTAAAACGTAGAATAATAGACTTGGAAGGGGCCTTAGAGGTCTTCTAGTCCAGCCCTCCCACACCTTTCCCACTTCACCCCTCCACACACACACACCCCGGATCCTGAAAATCTCTCGAATTTTCCAGGAAAATTTCATCGTGGGGGCTTTTTACGACGGGGTCATGCTCTACGGCCAGGCGGTAAATGAGACGTTGGCGCTGGGCGGCTCTATCACCGACGGCTTGGCCATCACGCTCCAGATGCGTAACCGGACTTTTCAAGGTTGGTATCTCTGCAGGCCCTGAGTATTTTTTTTTTTAAGGTGGGCGGGTGGGATTTGGCTGAGGGGGGGGACATTTTGGGGGGGGGGGGGTGGAATGGGAGGAATAGAGATCCTTCAGACGGGCCCAGGTTGCTTCTCCATCCTTAAGACGGGAGCGGGGGAAATATTTTGGGGTGGCACCAATCCGCTGTCCGAGTCTATAATTAGGGGGTTGAGATATCCCTGGATTTGGGGGGGGGGAGTTGGGGGTCTCTAATGCAGGACGGGCTTAGAATCTGTCAGAAGGGACCTCAGGAGGCCATCCAGCCTTACCCTCGGCTGATGGGGTGACCACCTCCTAGACTAGAGGTGTCTTAACAGAAGACAGGCTTAGAATCTGTCAGGAGGGACCTTGGAAGGCCATGCAACCTGACCCTTGGGTTGATGGTGCGACCCCCCCCAGAGGTCTTTAATGGAAAACAGGCTTAGAATCTGTCAGAAGGGACCCGGGAGGGCATCCAGCCCCACCCCCCCCCCACGGCTGATGATGCGACCACCTAGAGCAGTGACTCTCCTTTTGGCCTCTTGACATTCTTGAATCGATCCGTATTTTACCTCATAATCTTAAAATGGAGATGTTTTAAAAGGCTAATTTGTGGTTGGAGAGACCCTCCCGGGGTCTCCTTGCAGGTGGACATTTCTGACATTGGAAGGTTTGGGGTTATTCTAATTTATTTATTGATTTTAAACAAAATTCTAGGAATCACGGGGCTCCTGCGGATCGATCAGAACGGAGACCGGGAAATGGATCACTCCCTCTGGGATCTGGATCCGACCAGCGGAGTGTTTGAGGTAAGTGGAATCCCCCAGCCAGTTGGCTTTAAAATGGTTGGACTTCAACTCCCAGAATCCCCCAGTCAGCATCCTTTAAGATGGATGGACTTCAACTCCCAGAATCCCCCAGTCGGCATGCTTTAAGATGGATGGACTTCAACTCCCAGAATCCCCCAGTTGGCATCCTTTAAGATGGATGGACTTCAACTCCCAGAATCCCCCTGTCGGCATCCTTTAAGATGGATGGACTTCAACTCCCAGAATCCCCCAGCTGGCATCCTTTAAGATGGATGGACTTCAACTCCCAGAATCCCCCACCCCAGCCAGTTTGCTTTAAGATGGATGGATGCCAACTCCCAGAATCCCCCAGTCGGCTTGTTGACTTCAACTCCCAGAATCCCTCAGTCAAATGGCTGGCTGGGGAATCCTGGGAGTTGAAGTCCACCCCTCTTAAAATCGCCAAGGCTGAGAAAACCCTGAGTTAATGTGACCCAAGTCCCAAATAATTATAATAATTTTTTTTTTTAAATCCTCTTTTCCCTTCTGCTTTCTCTCTCTCTCTCTCTGCAGATCGTGGCCAGTTACAACGGCACCACCAAGAAGATTGAAACGATCCCTGGGAAGAAGATCCACTGGCCAGGCAACGCCGTTCCGAGGGACGTGCCGTTTTGCGGGTTTGAAAACGACAATCCGCTTTGCCAGAAAGGTGAAGCTGGGGAGGGGAAGTGCATGAAATGGGTCTGAGGCGCTAGGCTGCGGAACTCCCTTCCACTGGAATTGTGAACTGGGGCCAGGGATCAAGATATATCAAATATCAGATATAGATATTCAGGCTGATTTGCGGGGTGGGATTTAAACCAACTTGACTGAGCCGGCTTGGAAGATTTGGGGTTTGCTTTTCATTGGTTCAAATTTTGATCACGGCGCCACAAAATTGGGATCGGTTTCATACGAATCTCCTTCCTCTGTTTTTATTATTATTATTGTTATTGTTGTTATTATTTTGTTGTTATACACAAAAATGACAATGTACACAGCAAATGAGATCACTATGCTGGGTATTATTATTATTATTATTATTATTATTATTATTATTATTATTATTATTATTATTATTATTATTATTTCCTTCTCCCTCCCAGCCTCGTTTTCCTTGCTGGAGATCTTGTCGCTCGTGATGACGTTACTCCTGTTTGGCATCATCCTCACGGCCTTCTTTGCCTACCGGTGAGTTTGCAGGGTGGATCCCACCCAGCGGAAAATCGATTTGGATGCTTCGGGTCTGGGATCCACTTGATTTTCAGGCAGGATATTCAGGATTGGTTGATCCCGGCGGAGGGGGCTTTCCTCGGTTCTCCCAATGTTTGTTTAGGCAAAGCTAATTCTGAGCGAGGCATTTCAAACGAAGCCAATTCTGAGCAATGCCGTTTAAAGCAAAGTCAATTTCGAGGGATGCACTTAAAACTAAGCTAATTCTGATCAATGCAGTTGAAACGAAAGCCCCTTTTGAGTGATGCATTTAAAATGAAGCCAATTCGGATCAATGCAGTTTAAAGCAAAGTCAATTCTGAGCGATGAACAAAGCCAATTCTGATTAATGCCGTTTAAACAAAAGTCAGCTCTGAGCGAAGCATTTAAAATCAAGCAAATTCTGATCAATGCAAGTTTAAAGTAAAGCCCATTCCGAGTAATGCTGTTGAAGGCAAAGCCAATTCTGAGTGATGCATTTGAAACAAAACCAATTCTGAGCAATGCAATATAAACCAAAGCCAAGTCCGAGTGATGCCGTTGAAGGCAAAGCCAATTCTGAGCTGATGCATTTAAAGTAAAACCAATTCTGATCAATGCAGTTTAAAGCAAAGCCAATTCTGAGCGATGCATTTAAAATGAAGCCCATTCCGAGCTGCTGATTAACGGGAGGTTTTTATGAGACGGGGTGGGTAGTGACGGGGGAAATGGCGAGGCTGTGTGTAGCTTTTCGCAGTCTGAACTGGTGTGGCGGGAACCACCTGTTTGCAAAATTTTTAAAAAAAGAAAAAAGAAGGAAGACGACAGAGGGATGGGCCAGCCATACCTCCTGCCTTGGTGTGTTTTTTCATGCCATTATAGGAAAATGAAGTTGGAGAAGGAACTGGCTTCCGAATTTTGGCGTGTCAACTGGGAGGACGTGCAGTCGAGCAACCTGGAGAAAAACCTACGCAGCATGGGTAGCAAAGTCACCCTCTCGCTGGTGCGTCGCCTTGGTGGATTTCAATGTTTTTTTAAATGTGATATATATATTTTTTTGACTCCATACTTCCCCCCACCCAAAGCCCTGGTTGGATAATTCCTTCCACGTGTGTTCCCTTGGGGGGCAGGGCATACGCCACCCCTTCGAGGTAGGCAAGGGTGGGATTCAAAAAATTTTATTTTTTTATTTTTTAATAAATGTATTTATTCAACATTTCAACATTAAAAAAAGACAATTTCCACTTTTTACGATTCCTTCCTTCCTTCCTCCTGCTCCTCCCTTTTTTTCCTCTCCTCCCTCCCTTCTTTTCTCTCCTCCCTCTATTCTTTTCTCTCCTTCCTTCCTCTTCCCTGTTCTCCTTCCTTCCCCCTTCCTTCCTTCCTTC